TGTTGGAGGAGAATATTCAAAGTGCCATAGGCTTCCAAAAGAACCAACAGATTTGTGTTGGAAGAAGTGCAGCCAGAATGCTCTTTGGAGGCCAGGATGGCCAAAGTTTGTCTCTCGTACTTCAGACGTATTGTCAGGAGGGAACAGTCGCTGGAGAAGTATATCATGTTTGGTAAGGTGAAGGGTCAGAGAAAAAGAGGAAGACCTCCAGCAAGATGGATTGGTAAAGTGGCTGCATCAATGGACTCAAGCATGGCAACAGTAGTGAGGTTGGCCCAGGACTGGGCAGTGTTTCGTTCTGTTGTGCATAGAGTCGCTATGACTTGGTACCGATTCGATGTCACCTAACAACAACAACATCAATAGTTTGTTTACATACTTCTTAAGCACATTTTACACTAATATTCCTTTGAAATTAATTTCTATTTCTATCAAGGTAAAATGTATGTATAATAAACTAATTTAAAGCCCTCTTTTTAGAAAGGATTTATTAATAATATGTTGTTTGGCATCTTAAAAGAGTAATTGCTTCTGCCTTTTGTTTTTAAAGTGGGAAAAGCAAAGATGAACGATTTCCAGTTGCCACAGCATGACGCCTTTAATGATGAAGGTATTTCAATAGTCAATAACACAAAATAAGATTGTGATGTTGTATTACGTGGTAAAGTATGGTCTCCCATTTGATTAGCACTTTATAGTTTACAAAGTACTTCCATAGATGTTTTTTGTTAGGTTCTTGAAGTCCTGAAACAGGGTGACTGGGGCTGGTAGTGGGGAGGGTTGTGGAATGATCCCCATCCTACAAAAGTGAAAACAGACCCCAGTCTGCTAAGAACATTTTCTAGGTCAAGCAGATGAGAAGCGATTGTGTATCCATCCTGCTACCTGAGGCCGTACTTCTCTGCTTTCCACCCAACTAGATGGGTCTCAGGAATTTGGCCTAGCATCATAGGCAGCGTTATTTTCCCATATACTTCTCTGTTCTTATCAATCTTTCATTCTCCAAAAAAATTAAACGTTAATGGAAAATGTTTAATTTTTCTTTTGGACAGATTCATATACTTCTAAAATAGTCCCAGGAAGAAATTAGAATTCTGATTGTGAATAATTAAAAGTACTGTTTTAATTCACACGAAGCAGTCCTGGTGTAGCACTGTAGGATAAGCACTGGACCGCAAAGTCTGTTTGAACCACATGGTTGGCAGTTCAAATTCACCAGCTGCTCCTCAGAAATCCTATACAGAGTCGCTATGTGTCGGAACCTACTGATGGCCCTTAGAAACAACAATAATAAGTATGAAATTACTGAATTTATAAATTTTGAGCTCTGAAGTAAATTTGAGAATACTTATGTATTAGAAGTTCACACACATTACAGTCCTCCCCGCTCCCCAGCATGCTTGGGATATTTCTTGGAGCAAAATAGCAACTTATGTTTTGAAATGCAAATACCTAGCCACTTTGACTCCAGTTCTGTTTTTAATGGATAAACAATGTTTGCCATTAACCTTTATGCTTACTCAGAATGAGGAATTTTAGTAATAGTGAAGAGTTACTGTTTTGTGCCCTTTAATTGATTCTGACTCTTAGAGATCCTATAAGACAGTGGTGGTGGTTGTTAGGTACCATTGAGTCCATATCGACTCAGAGCAGCCCTGTGTACAACAGAATGAAACAGCCCCTGATCTTGGGCCAACCTCACAATCGTTGGTACATTTGAGGCCGTTGATACTGCCACTGTGCTAATCCATCTCGTTGGGGGGGGTCTTCATCTTTTTATCCAACCCTCCACTTTACCAAACATAAAATCCTTCTCCAGTGACTGGTCCCTCCTGACAACAGGTCCGAAGTGTGAGAGATGGAAGTCTGCCCATCCTGGCCTCCAGGGAGCACTCTGGCTGCACTTCTTCCAACACAATCTGTTTTTTTCTTTTGCCAGTCCAGAACTGCTCACGGCTGTAGTCTTTACGGGGTGGCAGATGAATTTCAACCCCTGACCTTTTTGTTAGCAGCTGAGTGCTTAGCACACTGTGCCACCAGGTCTCCTTATAATATAGGGGTTTTGTTGTTCAGTGTCACTGAGTCGATTCCAACTCATACTGACCAGGTATAGGGTTTGTGAGGAGCAGCTAGTGGGTTTGCACTGCTAACCTTGTGGTTAGCAGTCCAGTAAAAATCAAACATTATTTCTATATTCAGTGCGATTATTTCAGAAATGTGATATAAGTACCATTTTAAAGATTATGTTCTCCTGTAGCATTTTTGTTGTTTGAAAACGTCAGTTTAGGATGACAGTATGATGACACATGGTTTCTAACCACTGAAATCATAAGCCATGTGTTTCAGGTAGTGATATTAGGGGGTCTTAGGAAGGAAGAAATCTGAATTTAACATTACAATATTTGATTTCTAATATAAACTTGAAAAACTTCTGTCGACCATCCAGACCCTACTAACGTCGTATATTTTAATAGGTGATTTTTTTCTCTGAAGGACCCAGTATTGATATTACAAAGCTTTTCATTTTCTGTTAATGCTGTCAAATGTGATATTTATATACTAGGTACTGGTTGCACTGAAGAGACTTTTCCTTCATTGTAGATGACAGATTGTCTGAGATTTCTGCTCGCTCTGCGGCTTCTAGTCTCCGGGCTTTCCAGACTCTGGCACGAGCCAAGAAACGAAAGGAGAAATTCTGGGGCAAAACATAATTACATATGTACCTACCTGACTTTCATTTAAGACATTTTCGGCATAATTTGTCTGTCTTGCTCACTGTGTTAAGATTTTTCGAGTGTTTGGATATTTTCTAATAGTCCTGCTTATAAAGAATTATTTAATTTTTCAATAGTCAATTCAGTTTACTTGGAAATTTTTAACACAAACTTACAGAATTTAACTTTTAAAGAATTCTTTCTACATTTATCCTAAAGGAAAAAGAGATAGACTGCATAGTTCTTCACATGTTTGGACTTGTGTATTAAGTGTCTAGGATAGTGTTAGAATTGAGAATTTCACCCATGTGGAGAATATTCTGAAAGGATAAACAGAGTGAAATAAAAATTTAAGATCCATGTTTTAAGTATGAATTCTGTTAAGATTGGTTACATGTATCTTCATAATTATAGAAATCGTAAAAATTAATTTGCTGTTCCTCTAACTTCTGCTGTGGTTTTTATTTTAGTGTCTTCTGTGTGTGGTTATAATGTTATTAAGATAATTATACTTTAGAATGAAAATATTAGCTGTATATATACTTATTTATATAACAAAGTTTGCTGAAAGAATATGTATATTTTTGATCCTTGTGTGTATTCTATTTGTATAAGAATTTTGACTTACATTTGAATAATGTCTGAATTTTGAAAAATTATTTGTATAATGGAATTAAAAGTTTGTAGACATTTTGAAATAAAAATTGATCAAGTGGCTTTGCTTTCTCCAGAAATTTATTAAATTGAGCGAATAATTACTTTTTAGAAGTATTCATCAACAATTAAACTTCTTTGCTATCAAAATGCAAAGAATCTTGACTCTACAGTATTTTTGCACAAATAGAAGACAAATACAGAATTTGAAGGCAAACTTTTTTTTTTCAATTGAACACATGCTTTTTAATTATAATTCTTCATCTGGAACATGTGATAGCAAATCACAGTAGCTTTAATGTAACAGAAATACACATTTAATAAAATATATTGTTTAAATACTTTGTAATAAGACATAGGCGGCGGTATCCTGAAGATTAAATATGTTGTTCGAAAACAAGTGAATTATCTGTTCTAAAGTGTTTAATTTGGTGAAAAATACTTCTGTAAGCCATTGACTTACAATAAGTTATTAGTAATTTTTAAGTTCTTTGAAATTGGAAAGAACTGTGGGCATATGAATATTTGCCTGCATTCTACTGATCTTTGTAAGTACAGGCATACCTAGGAAATATTGTGGGTTCAGGTACAGATCACCTCAAAAAGCAAAGGTTGCAATAAAGTGAGCTCCACCTGCTTTTGGTTTCCCGATGTATATAAAGTCACGTTTACACTATAAGAAGTGTGCGATAGCATTATGAACAATTTGGATATATTATTAGAATGACCAAAATGTGACACAAGACTTGAAGGGAGCACATGCTGTTGGGAAAATGGCACTGCGACAGGGTTGCCACAGAACTTCAATTTGTAAAAAGCACAATATCTGTGAAACACAACAAAGCACAGTACAATGAAACAAGATATGCCTATAGTTTATTATAAACAAATTATTAAAGCACTAAAGATACAAGTAAAAGTTAGAAATTATTTAGGGTATAAGGAGTTCAGAACACACATTTCCTTGGCATCTATGAAAATAGGTACTAAGGCACACTGGTTGTAAAATAAGTTTGGAACTTACTGTCTCTTTAATTTAGAGGTATCATCTTCTTCCTCACAAGTTGGTTAGGACAGAACTTTCAATGGTAGACCACTGATGTAATTAATGGTAATTGCAGAGATTGATGGATGACTGTCATAGACTACAGAAAGTCTGAGTGCATCTATTGGAGTAAGTCACACCACATAAACTTCGTCTGACTGAGGTCCAAGTCTGTTAGGGCATGGTTCTCATAAGGTCAAGGTCATGACCCTAGTGTCTGCATGACAATTTAGCTCTGCAAGATAGTACTGTACTGACTGCCACTGTCTTAAAAATCCTACTCAGCATTTGACACGTGGTGCCACAGTCCAAAAGAGTGGTGATTGGGAGGGATCAGTGATGCTCCATTGTTGGTAAGTGCCATCAAGTTGGTTCCGACTCATAGCGACCCTGTATAGGGTTTCTGAGGAGTGACTGGTGAGCTTGAACCACTGACGTTGCAGTTCAAACAGCTTTGCAGTCTGGCGCATTAACCCACAGCACCACACCGGGACTCTATTGCTCCATTAGTCATACTAAAAAGAGAGTCAAAGAACATGAAGTTGAATCGGTGGGTGAGTAATGAGTTACATGAGTATATGGGCATTGAATGAATTATCATACAATTAGATTCATCCAGAATGAAATTAATATTCAAAACAAGTTTGTTTTTATAGAGCAATATTGTGGTTGGCTACCTAGGAATCTCAGAGATGGATTGTGTATCATTGTTGTAATTGTATATGCATGTAGTAGACACCCATTACATGCTTACATTGGCTTCTGGAAATTTGCCAAAGGAACAAATAATCTAAACTGGCAGGTGATCCTAAAATCTTTTATGCTTTGTTTTGCAGTATGATTTTGGTTCTTTTACATGGGGTGGTTATCAAGTGCCATCTAAGACTGAAGTTGTGAAAGACTTCAATTTGCTCATCAACCATCAACACTCATGGAAGCAGCAGTCAAGAAATCAAATGACGTATTGCATTAGGCACATCTGTACAAGACCTCTTTAAAATGTTTAAGAGCAAAGGTGCGCCTGACCAAGCCATGATATTTTCAAAAATTATGCATATGAATGTGTCTCAGTGAATAAGGAAGACAGTAGAAGAATTGATGCATTTGAGTTATGGTGTTGGAGGAGAATGTTGAAGGTACCATGGACTGCCAAAAGAACAAACAAATCTGTGTTGGAAGAAGTGCAGTCAGAGTGCTTCTTGGGAGCCAGGATGGCCAGACTATGTCTAGTACTTCGGACATAACTATCAGCAGGAACCAATCACTGGAGAAGGATATCATGTTTGGTAATGTGGAGGGTCAGCAGAAAAGAGGAAGACCCCCAACAAGATGGATTGGCAAAGTGGTGGCAGTGATGGGCTAAGGTGTATCACTGATTATGAGGTTGGCCCAGGACTGGGCAGTGTTGTGTTCTGTTGTGTATTGAGTAGCTATGAGTTGGTACTGACTCAATGGCCCCTAACAAAAACAACAGCAGTCAGTTCCAACTCATAGTGGCCCTGTATAGGGTTTGCGAGGTGGGTTTGAAGCACCGGCCTTGTGGTTAGCAGTCCAGTGCCTATCCTTAAGCACCACACCAAGACACCTTTACATGTGGTGCTGTCAGCCATATTAGAGTGATCAGGGCTCAGACTCAATCAAACTGTCATCTCAGGTTTGCAAAGTTGAATCAGCTACACAGAGACTACTCCAGGCAAAAGAACAGCCTCTTGTCAGACAAACTAGGGTTGGATCCACCAGGCCTGACCACACGGGAACTCTTAAGAAGCCAGCTTGTCTCTCCAGCCTGTTCTGGTAAACTTTCACGTTACTATTGATCCAGCACACTTATCAAGCAACATGAATCTTTTTCCTGTGGTACATGGTACATGGAGGCACAGAAAAATCCAAGCCTTTGAGAATCAGAGGTGAGTTCTTGAAACCTCCCATTTGCTATATTTCCACTCTGTTCATGTGAGGTCTGTGGGGAGCAGCAGCCTGTGGCCCTAAGAGGGGAAGAGCAGTCAGCCTAAGAATGATGCTCACTTCTCTCCACTAAGCGCTCCACCCATCAGTCCCATCCATGGCTTCCCCAGGGTCCCAGATCATTCTGGCATATCTCAGACCTATAGTTCTTCTGAGTGAGGGACAAGGACTGGAGGACACTGAGCCCTCACTGGAAGTCACAGCACTAGACTAACAGAATGAGATTTGGAGCGTTCACAACCAACTCAAACCACAGAATGGACGATTCAGATGATGTTGGGAAATTGAACATTGATCCTGTAAAGTTGTTTGAACTGCAAGGCTGGCAGTTCAAGCTCACCAGCCACTCCTTGGAAACCCTATTACAGTGTCGCTGTGGGTCAGAACTGACTCAATGGCATTTAACAACAACTATA